AATTTTATTCTCCAAATTGTCATACAAATAGTTAATTTCTTGAGCTTTATCGTTAATAATGCTATTAAGATCTTTCTTTTCTATTTCCAAGGTTTGACAACAGACCTTCAAATCAGCAATGTTTTTATCTAAATCAATAAATCTACGATTCTCCTTCATTAGCATCTCATTTTCTTGTGTGCATTTATTGAGTGACTTTTGGATATTTTCGAGATCTTTTTCTTTGCATTTTAAATCATGGTGCAATGCACTGCGTTCTTGTATAAGTTTTTTATACAAGACATTTATCTCGACAAATTTTTCTTTTAAACTTTCGGATTGGTCAAGACGTTTATTTAAATCTTCACTTTCTTTCTTAGTCAGCCGAAAAGAATTTATTAAATCATCAAGCTCAAGATTTTTCATTTTCAATTCGTTTTCCAGCGTACCTTTCTCTTTCAATAAGATTTCATATGAATATTTAAGTTCATTGTACTCAATCGTTAATTCTTCTAAATGTTGTAATTTATTCTCTAATTCATCACGTTGCCGTCTGGATAGGTCAAGAGTATCTTTGTAATGAATATTTTCATCTAAGAGAGTGTGTAAACTTCGTACACTTATATCATGTAATTTATTGATTTCATTTAGCAAAACAGATGTTTTATTGTTTATGTTATCGGAACTGTCGTCAACACTTTGTACGCCATGTTGGATTTCATTAATCGATAGAGGTTTATTTTGTTCAGGATCATTGTATAAATATGTTTTAATAGTATCTAATATTTCTCGACTTTCATGCTGTTTGGCTTTAAGGATGTCAATTGCTAGATCGTTTTCGGTTTTTAATGATTGTAAGCTTTCAGTATACATGTCTTCAGTATTTTTTAAAGTATCCAGGAGTAGAATATTTTTACTATCTTTAGCTTCTATAACATCTGTCAAACTGTTAATTTCTATTGTTTTAGAGTCGATAATTTCTTTAAAGTTTTCGAGTGCCTTATTTTTACCTTCTATTTCTTTAAATAATAATTGATTTTGATTCTGAAGATATTGAATTTGGTTTTGGTAATCTCTCGCATATTCTTCAAGGCAAATATTAGAGTGTAGTAGTTTATCAGATTTTTCTATAAACAAAAAAAATGTAATATAAAATATGTCATGTCATCTTAAATAATAGCTCATTTGAAATTATGTAATTTGCGCACCCTTCCAATTCTCAATTTCTAACTTCAATTCGTTAATCAATTGAAGTTTTTCTTCAAAATTATCTTGAAGTACTTGTTTTTCTTCTTCATTGCACAATAAAGCCTGTCTAAGATTATTAATCTGTTCTTTCTGGCTTTCAATTTCATCCAACAACTCTACCGATTTTGATGTGTCTTCAGAAATAATCTGAAAATCAATAATTTTAATGAACTAAACCATCTATTATTACCTATGGCACTTTAAAAATATGAAAATTATATATAAAATGTATACCTCGTGTCCTTGTTCAATAAACTTATCTATTTGAAGGGACAATGTTTTTATTTGTTGATCTTGACACGTTATTTTACACTCATATTCCTTCAATTTACAGTTCATTGAACTTTTTTCCCTTTCAAATAACACAGTTAATTCCTGCAGCTTCTTTTCCAAAGCGATATTTTCATTTTGTAAGTAATCTATATTTTTGCACTTTATTCTGTTTATTTCAGATTCTGCTTGAAGTTTTGCCTCCACGTTACACGTCTCATCAGACAATATATAGTAACGTTCCTTTAATACATCTAAGTCTTCCGAACGTTTCCTGTAGTACTCTTTTTCACTCCAAAGCTGATTATATTCTCGCAAGTGTTCTTGCATGCACTGACATTCTTTTTCAAGCTCTGTATATTTTTGACAACGTAAAAATAAGCAATCTTTTTCATACTTTAAATTATCATAACATTTGACCAAGTCATCGTAGTTGGCTTGTAAATTCTTTAATCTATTCAAACTGTCAGTTTCTAAGTGATCGTTCTCTAGAAGAAATTCATCCTGTATATTATCAGATTTTACTATTACACTTTCTTTACTGAGTATTTCTTTCATTTCTTGATTGTCTATTATATCGGCTACCAATTGCGCTCTTCTATCATCCACGCTATTCTTACCACACTCCGCTGTCGTTAGAGCGAGAGTTGTCACTATTTCAGCACGATAACAAGAACAGTCTTGCGCTGAGGAGGTTTGCTCGTACTCTTGAGAACACGGAGCGATAAGTGCAAGAGAAAACTTCTCCAATACTTTCATTTTAAAAAGTATTTTGGCTTTTATATCGATACTACGGGTGTCTTTATCAGCTGTCTGAAATAGATAAAACTCCATGTACGTATGTAGAATCAGTGAGTGTTTATCGCCCTGTATATTTAAAGTTTAAACTGATTATGAATTTTGCTATAAAATTTAATGAAAATTAAATAGGAACAAAACTTGTCTGTAGTAAAAGGCCTGCTGTCTAAAATTGTCTGCACATGAATGATAAATAGGAAACCAAAATTACCAATAGATTTAGATAATGTTTATATTTCCCATTTTGACAAAGCGTAGAAAATATTTTCTCTAATGCTGTATAAATATGAGCATAAAGGCAATAGGGTTCACATATGTCAGTTTCCATAACCTGAAAAATTTGACGTATATGATTACGACGATTTGAGATATACGAAAGCTAAACTTTTTACAATGAGCAATTCTTACAGCAATTTTATTTTGCATTGCATTTAATTTGGCATCCTTTCTAATAATCATATCTTGCATGTCATCAATTCTTGGATCAGAGGCATCTATTAAAAAAATTATGTAAAATTTACAGACGTGAAATTCAAGTAACTTATAATGTATGTTCAGATATTAATTTTATCTATAATTATTTGTTTTAAGATGTTTATGTTATGTCAAAAAAAGTAATTCACTTTGTAAGGACCACTTTTGGTGGTTTAGTATTTACTTACATGTGCTTGCGTCGGCCGCATATAAAACTTCACCTTGTCCAACTTGGTTGCTTTTAGATTCCAATTTTAATTTCGTAAATTCCCACTGTAAATTTACATTAAATTTGTATTAAATATAAAACTTAATCAAATAAATGTTTACTTACCAGTCCACTCCGCGACTTTCCGCTCTAAAAAAGTTATTAGGTTAATAATTGGAAAATGGAAAATAACAGAAAAATAATAAAAAAAATTGATAACAGATCTACCTCATCTCCTTTTGACTTTTGAGTCTGCAACAACAATAATATATATTTTATTAGTTAGAGACTAAACTGAAACCCGACCATAAAAAATCGTCATTTTGAAGGATTCTTAAAAATTCGTCTCTAATTAAAATCTCTAATGAAAGATAATCAGTAATCATCAACAATCGACCTCATTGTCTATAAAATAAAACTTCTAGAGTAAAACGGTCTATATCGCCTGATAATAAAGTATAACTAATTTTACTTTCGCGACGATATAATATAACAGCTCATCCAAAATACTATTAGTTTATTTTTTTTGAGAGATTTGCATATTTACTATTCTCACTATTACTTACTATATAGCGCAAACCGCTATTATAAATAAACTTTTAAAAGAAGTCATACTCGAAGAATAAAACTCACCTCATCACCTCTCGATTTACCAGTCTGTAAATAAATAAATTATAAGTGTTGTTTATCAGTCAACATAATGTATATACGGAGTATATTAAAAAGGCTATACCTCAAACGCCTCAGAATCAATTCCCTGAAAAATAAATTATTATTAATTATATATCAAATGAAATTTAAAGTTTTAAATTACACTAGCGTTCACCTCTGTAAATCCAGATAAGTCCAAATCCAAGCACTGAAACACAAAACGCTATTAATATTCAAAAATTTATAAAATAACTAGTGGACCCCACAGACGTTGTCCTGCATGATATTTAAAGCGATTTGGATATTAAGCAAAGTATGAAAGTACCGACTGCAGTGCCATCTGCCGGGCTGATTTGTGAATCTAAACCATTCCCAGATCCCCTTGAACACACACAAAAAATTTCATCAAAATCGGTCCAGTCGTTTAGGAGGAGTTCAGTCACAAACACACGCACACAAGAAATATATATATTAAGATGACCTAAACATAAAATTTCATAGTACTCACCATTTCATCCAATTCTTTGTTAGCTGCTTTAATAGAAGCATGCTGAAAGAGGGAGAAGTTATTAACATCCTCAAGATTTGTAATATGCGATAATACAATACCGAATTTCATTACTTACAGCACCTGCTATATCGCATTTTTGTTCCGATGTTAGTTCAAGTTGATCATAGGCAGCCAGCATTTGTTCAAACTCCTCAATCTTGCGCTTGAGGCGACCTATTTCAGCATTCTTCGCTACCATTAAAGTATTGACAATCACATCCGTGGGCAAGTACTTCGGCCGACATGATTCGTTATTTTTTTTAATAATTTCGACCAGATGTTCAGCCTTGTCGGAACAGAAGTGGGACCAAGCTCGTGCGTCAGTGCATGAAGAATATGCTTTCAACTTCCCTTCATTCCGTGATGGCAAATCATACACATCATACTCGTTAAAAACTCTTTCTCTTTTCGTTATGAAAGACATTGCCGACTAATAAGAGACACAATTTTTCCGAACACAGTTTCCTTAATTACATCTCATCACCATCCATTTTATAAAACAATACGATTGTGAAAAGCTTAAAACTTATGTTTAAGTGTAAATGGTCGAAAAATTGCAAATATTTTGATGTGTCATTACAAATCGGGACGGAACGGTAGTTTGAAATGGAATGTCATTTTTGAACTGATTTATTATTTTTTTATTTTGCAAAATTAATCACCAACTACTTGGATTGTAAACATCCGAACTGCCAAAAAACTATTTTCATTTTTTGATAGATATTTTATTATTACTTTTACTGTGAGTGACATAATTAATTACAAAATTAAAAGTTACAACAACAACTAAATAATGTTGTAAATTATCATAAGATTCAATCAATGAACTACAAAAGCAATAAGCTTCAATTAATATCAAGAAACGAAGGAAAGATTAAATCATATGATTCTTCTACCGACGTGCGGGCATGGAGTCATGATCTACAAAATCGAGACTATTACCTCAGGGATTGGATGAGAAGTGATATGCCTATTTGTGTTATTCCTGTCTATACTGTCACTGGATTCTTAAGAAACATGACGCGAAAGAATCACACTAAAGTATAATTAGTTTCGTATATATATTTAGTGATATATGTATATGTAGGCTTAAAATTTAGATTAGCTTTAATCAAATTGTATTTCGCAGCTAACCCCAAGTTGCCAGCCCGAATGCAAATCGAAGTTAATCTTGGAAAGTGTTTGTGCCTCATGTCATGCTATAAGGGAGTGCCTAAAAAATGACGAAGCATTTGAAAAATACTTTCAAGAAGTAAGTTTCTACTAATTTACATGTTCTTTTGATAATACGAGAATTTTCCAAACAATTATGGACCACTGGTGTTATTAATCACTTAAGCAACTGTTATATTTTAGGAGGAATTGGAAACAGGTCACTGGCCATGTGATAAATGTCTAAGTGCATTAAAGAGTATAAAAATGTTTTGGCGAATTATATTAGATAAAATATTTGGTATAAATATGGACATGGAAAAGGAATATAATAGCAGTATATGTAGCAGTGTACGTAGTATAGCCAAGAGCTACTTACACGAAATAAATGAACAAACTATTTATTTAAGAAAAATTATATCAGCGAAAGGTAAATACGATGGTTATGAAAAACAATCAGATACAATACGTTTCAAAATATACAGCAACGATTTCGTTATTCTCACACCTAAAGAAAGTAAACATAAAATTGTAGTTGTTGAAAAGTGTGTAGAAACAGACGCGCCCAAAATATTAAAAGATGAAAAAGTTAGTCAAGGCGTTACTGTTAGATGTAAAACCGTTGACTACGGTTGTCAGACCGGCGATTTAAACGATATAAACATCCACAAAAATATTAATAATTTAAAAGATAATTCTCAGAACACAGAATTAAATAAAGTAACAAAATTGGACTGTGGATGTGAGACGTGCGAGTTTAAAGATAACGAGATACAAGCATATAAAAATAATATAGATATTCTCCAAAATCAACTTAACTCGCATAGTATTGAACTAGCCAAAGTTAATAAGGAAAATATATCCTTAAAACTAGAGCTACAACAAATTTATCGAAACAACACTTGGAGCTCTTATCATAATCAACCTAATTTCGCGCCATTTCAAGAATCACTCAACAATGTTCCACCTCCTTTTGAGAGTATAGACGAGGAGCATAATGACATTATTCCTAAGACTATAGATTCTGAGATGATCATCACTTTAAAGAATTGCAAAAACGAGGTAAACGGAGTATTCTTATTCATACCTTGTTTATGAAAAATAATTGTTTTGTATCGACGCTACTATTAATTTCAGGGTTACAAAAATATATCATTACTACAAGTAGTACACAAATCAAATTCAGCAAAGGAAACGAAAGAGTGTTGCTGTCATGAAGATGATCCAATCAAGATTTTAACAAAAGGTAACTTAAATAGGCAAAACTTAAACTTCTTTATAAGATACTCACGTTTATTACAGTACATATTCACAAATAAATTGCAATGGTAATGGATGCAATACTCTCTAAAATGCATAAAATATTAAATACTGTCTTTACGGGGTTACGCAACCACTGGCGTTACGAGATACGAAGCCCACACTAATATATAATTTTTCCTAATAAAGTAAATACTTTTTTAAAAAAAACCTTACTTTTATAGAATACCTTTATTTTTATTAATATTTTTGACGGATTAGATGCATAGTCGTTCATAATAATCTTTAATAGAAGATTGTTAAATACATATCTAACGAAAAGCGCTTCTGATTGGATCGATTCAAATTTTTACTGAAGTAACCGTTATCTCTTAATAAACAACTCTGAGAAGAGTATAACCCTCATAACCCCTGTATTTATATAGCGATTACACAAGTCATGATTTTCGTATGTTTATATTTCAGTACAAAACACTTTTGGTAATATAGTAGAAAGAGAAATGGCTATTATCAACGAGAAATGTAGTAAGAAGAACGCAACCATCATAAATTCTTCTTACGTCAACGTCGAGTCAGCAAAAACTCAGTCAGCAGGTTCTACGCTATCCCTTCATTCAATATCTTCAGAAACAGTTTTTGTAAGTTATTTATGACTATATGGTGTAGTTTTTACTAAGATTTTAGATTGACGCATCAATTAAAGTGCACCTGAAGGGGTTGGAAGACTCTTAAAAACACATTGGAGTAGTAAACCTATTGAAATTTATATGTGTAAACACGTAGAAATACTTTGTTAGTGTATAGATCTTGACGCTTATTTAGATCGAAGTTTTTGAGTAAACACACTTTGATTCCGATTTTTTTTATATTCTTTAAGACAAATATTAGAGTGAGGAAGTTTATCAGATTTTTCTGTAAACAAAAAAAATAATATAAAGTTACCAAATTGGCTCCCATTTTACAACTTCTAGAAGTCGATTTGGAAGAAATATATTACATTCTAGATTTTTTAAGTGTTACATAATATTATAAAGTAAAATAAAATTACACAATCTTTCAGGTTACAACAACTGACTAACCCGAAGAAATGTTTGTTTAAATGAAAGTCTTGTCTATGAATAAATGTATTTATAAAAATTGTGCCATTATTCGTATTATTCTATCGTATATTAGTTTCTTAGCATCGTTTGCGAACACAAAATCCAAATGGTTGAAATTATCTAACGGGACTCTGTATTTTCCCACCACAGATTTGAGTTCCTTGAACAGTCTGTCGACGTCCTTTGGAGTCGATAGCCAATCATTATCAGCATAGTGAAGGAAAATTGGTACTTTGATTGTACTAATATTGTATGCGGGAGGCCTAAAAGACCCATAGGTTCGTCTGTTTGCCCACCAACCGTGGTCGAAATAGGAAAATTTTCCGGACTTATATAATTGACCGAAATGTATGAATTGTCTTGTGGACGCTCCGGCTGGTGTATGGCCCATAACTACGGGTAGCATAGTCTGTAAAGATAATATTAGAAATTATTTATTTATTTACAGCCCATGCATGGCCCAACTTAGACTAAAAATAACATAATACTACAATAAAATACAATTATTAAGTTTACAAAATCTTATCCCCTCCAAGTATACTCTCAAATCACAGTATACTACCCCCCCATAAGCTTCACAAATAGGTCGCTCTCTATATATATCTAATCGTATTGGTTAAGAATAAAATGCCTAAATTTCTACGTTTATTTTATATACAAAGATTGTGTGTAGCCTCCGTAACATAGGTATGAACGCACGTTGGAGAGAAGGAGATTTATCTAATATAGATATTGATTATATTGGGTATGTCCAGAAAGATCACTTCTGGATGTTGTCAAAATGTTAAAATAATAAAGAATATTTGTAGAATGTATTTCTGTGAGAACTAAAGTATCTTTGAATCGTAGATAAAACCTACCTTGTTCAATTGTTCAACATCAAAACCGCAGAAAAGAAATAGTAGATTCGTACACAGAGACTGTGTGCTTGCTTCCTCAATACACAACTTTTCACCCGCTAATTTATTCAAATTTCCATTTGGTAGAATTTCATTTGCCCCTATTAGTTTCAAAATTGTCTGGAATAAATGTGTTTAATAGAATTGGAAGGAAAATACGGCTTAAAATATCAATTTATTAGCGAAATTTGTACCTAATGCGTCAGTCAACATAATTATCTTTTTCATACCAATGTTTTTTACACCATTGTATTTACCGTAATCCTTGCACACATTTGGACATATTATTTATTTATTTATTTTATTTATTTGCTTAACGGTATTCCTACAGCTACTTACGAGTACTATACAATATTCAAAAAATTACACTATACACAAGCCAAAAACGGAATACACATTTAAACACACACAAAGCACAGTTACACCTATACAAATACAAAAAAATAGTATTAAGTAATATTATAATAATTTAGCAGTTTTATTTGTGTTTAGAACAGGTTGCATATGGGCATGAGGCTCACCTGTTGTTACGTGATCGCATGAACGCTCTCAATGTCAGGGGGCTGACGAGTGCTTTGCCAGCTTTTAAATAATTGGTACTCTCTTTTCTTGAAGGACCGAAGGCCAATTGGTTTGGATACTGTGCTGTTTATTATATTTTTAAATCAATAAAAGCCTACCTCTAACGAATTTGTGAAGGGTGCAACAGCTCGGATAACCGGACTACGAATATTGCCAACGTATGCTATAGGTGCCATTGCATGCATTGCCGTGAACTTTTCGTTATATTCGGGTCTCATTGACGTCATCACCCAAAACGCTGTTGTGCCTTGGGAAAATGCGATATATTGCATTTTTTCGACCCCCGTTTCCTTTATAACATAGTCAATCATAGCTGGGAGGTCATAATAACCGATCTCATGCCAACTGAACTTCCAGAATGATGACGATGTGGTTTTAAGTGAGACATGTTTTCTTGAGTACGTATTACCTCGGGCATTGCCCATCCATACATCGTAGCCTGCTTCGGCTAAGAGGTAGGCTGGAAGAGTGATACTTTTAGGCAAAAACTCGTCTTCACACAAAAAATACAACTCTTGAAACTAGGTGTAAAAAAATAGTAAAAACCTAATTAATTTAAGCACTATCTGATACATATGCCGTTAAACTGATGATTTATAAGATAAGAAAAATTCTAATATGCAATTGAAGCCACATGCTACTATTATATCCCTACTATAAACCTACGACCTATCTGATCATATCCTTCAGCCGAGGGTCTCCGTAAAATTTATATTGATTCTTGCTTATGTCGACAAAATATGATCATGGAACAGATATAGAGATCTGAGGCCCATGCCTAAAAGGGTTGTAGCGCCACTGGTTAATTACGATACTACACAACTTACACTGAGTTATGTTAATAATATAATGAATTCGCGTTTATATCAATTAAAGATTAATTTTCATTTCGAATTATAAATACTTCACGTTTTAAAAAAATACAACTTACCTAGTCCTTTATCTGGCCTCATTAGAACGAATTCGGCTGAAGACGAGAGCAATCCATGTTGAAGGAAAACCACGGGGCGAGTTCCCTTTATGGAATTTTCTTTGCCATATGGAATTCTATGCATTTCCAATACATATTTGTCTTCGGTGTATACTCTGTGTATTTCGCAGGGGTATCCATATTTCTTTATGAGGGTAAACTGAAAAAGAAATACGTCAGTTAACTTGTCGATGACTGAAATTTAATTTATGAATTGTAAATGAGAATATTAATTTTAGTAATGTGTTATTTGTGTTTATAGCTATGAAATCTATCATCTATGTCATGTCTAGTGTGTATTTTTATGTGTGTGTGTTATGTTTAAGAGCGTTTTTTTCGAATAGTGCAACATATACATTTATATCCAACACACACAAGGTATTTACAATATTATTAACCTACATAGTAATAATAATAATTATAATTAAAAATGTACAAATTTATTTAAAAAAAGTTTGGGCCACGTGGCAGAGTATTTAATGCTGGCAAGCGCAGCATTTCCTACATTTCATTTTCGTTATCGATTGCCCATTGTTTAGCGTTCTCTCAAGTGTTTTTCTTAGGTTAATAATAAACATTATCTATATATATTCGATTTATAGTATATACAAGTCGCAAATAAATAGCAATTGATTTTTTTCTCCTTATGATATATATATTGTAAGTATAGTAAAGTAGTAGTTTGACTATAAAATAAGAAATACTTACCGTATCCAAAGTTGCATCTTCAATAATACTGGGATCAGTATTCCTTAAATTAAGAAACTCAAGACTATTTGATTTTGTATAAGAAAAATTTATCGATAATATAAACATTATTTTCGTAAATAATATTGGATTCATTCCAATTAATAGTTTGTTTACAACTGAACAATAACAGCTACTGGTTAGATTTGAACGATTCTCATGCATGCCTCTTATCATTAAGATTATATATTTTAAGATTAAGATTATTGACTAGATTCCGACTGTGGATTTTATCGATTTTGGTTTAGTCTTGCTAAGTACCCAGATTTCAGTACATGAATTTGCCAGTAATTTTAGCATGTATGCATTGTAACCCAAATACCCGTATGTGATTTATAATATTATCTTTCACCTAGATCAGTGGATAATGGAAAAGGTTTAATGATGATCTAAAAAAAATCATTTTTCGTATCAGAGACCTGAATCGTTAAATGCATTTATTTTAATCCAATAAGTACTATCGGAATTGAATAAAGTACCTACCGTAATCAAATACAAATTATGTACAATACAAAACCAGACAAACTAAAAGCTTCATTTAAAAATCACTTAAGACCAACACATACGGTGGTAGGAATGTTTTAATCTTGACGATTTCATTCAGCCGTGTTATAAGGGTTAAAAACTCTGGTTTAAGATCATAATGTACCATTATACATGATTACAACATCTATTAATTTAAATAACAATTAACTATTATCAGTTTAAATTAAGATTATGAAATTAATTCGAATATTTCGTAATTATTCAGGTATTAATATTGATTAAGAAGACCTTATTTTTATCAACAACTAAAGGGTCGAGGATTTATTACAAAATTAAAAATGCTACACAGTCTCCTTATGCAATACATATTTATATTACATTAATATCAAATAACAAAGCAGACGTTTTAAGGCACAAAATACTGATTGAAGTAGGTATACAGTATAAAAACATGTAATTACCTTGGTAATTGGTGTGTGAGCCAGTATTTCACAACGTGAACAGTTTATAATTACATAGTAAGAATTATGAAATAGAAACCGCACTAAATATCAGAAATTAGGAAAAAATACTCAAAAGTCAAAATGTCATAAATTCCCGCTGTGTGAAGTGTTTAAACTCGATCTGCGACAGTTAGGGCCATCTGTTAGAATTGTGACAATCAAAATTTAATAAACATATATTTTGCAATAAAATAATATTGCGGGTTTAAATTAAGATGTAAGCTATCTTTTAAGTTGAATCAAACTACACACAGTGTGCAAATTTGGTTGATATTGGTTCCGTAGTTTAGGAGTCCATAGCCGACAAACAACGTGACACGTAATTTATATATATTAAGATTAGTATCTTTCATCCACTGTCCGAATTGTTTAAGAAAATTACATTTTCTAATCTACCATTTTGAACATACGTATGCATGTTAATTGGTTCTTAAAATTGATTAAACTGTTTACACAATCCTATTATTTGAATCGCCGGGTTGTCATATTGAAATGTTAATTGTCAAACTAATAAGCAGTATTGAGTTTATAGTATGTACTCTGTGGTCAGTCGTCAGTACTCTTTGTAAGTTTGTAGTATTTTAGTAACGCTGAATACTCCGTGCGTTGTTTACTTTTTGTATTTTTTTATTTTTTACAACTTTTGCATGAAGGAATATCATGTCGAATCAAGAAATTAGTTTAAAGTGGAATGGCTATCAGAATAACATATTGTGTAACGTCAAAGAGCTTTTTAAAGACGAAGGATTATGTGATGTCACCCTGGTGTCTGAAGGGCTAAACTTTAAAGCTCATAAAGTGATACTATCAGCTAACAGTTCCCTTTTTAGAACTATCTTCCAGGTAAACAGTAGAACATTGTTGTAATGAGGTATGCGGAAACATTTTGCAAATTGTATAACGATTCTTACGCCCACATGTTTTCCGTAGCAAAACCCCCACAGGGATCCAATTATAGTACTTCATGACATCAACACGCACTCTTTAAGGACACTACTAACGTTTATGTATAACGGCGAAGTGAATGTTACCGAGGAATCTCTACCAATTTTGTTAAAAACAGCTGAAACACTAAGAATCTGCGGACTCTCCACGGGTAGTGAAGCTAGCCGTGATGCTGAGGTAACTTATTAATATTATACAATTATATATTTATTATATTCAGCTCTATTGTCATACATAGCATTTCAGTATCAGATATGTGTCTATGTGTAAAAAGGTCAAATTGTCTAACTAATATTATAAATACTTGATATTAAAAATAAAACTGTTAAATAATCAAATAGTGGGTATGTGTAAAGATATGAACATCCATTTTATTTTATTATTTACAAAATTTGAAGTTGAATGATTAAAAAAGCTTGAATGTAATGAAACTATTTCACATGTTTATAACTTTTGTAGAAATCAGCTTGTACCCAGACAAGCTCAAAAAAACGCAAAAAGAGTGAACAAGAGGACAATAATAACAAAATTAAAAAACCTTCCATTAATACGAAAGTTGATGCATGTAATTTAAGTCCTGATATAAAAAACAATGTAAGTAGCATTAATATACTTATTTACACTATTATGAATCAGTTAAAGTGACACCAGAAAAAAGCTAGGAAAAGATAAATTAGCATGGCATGGTATTCCATACCTGGGTAAATCATAATTTTAAAAAAGTCCTTTAAAATTAAGAATAGTTTTTGTATATCAAAATAAAACCAAATTACTTAGACATCCAACATAACAAAACATGATAAATTTACACTAAAGAATTATTTTTTGATGCTTTGATGTTTTTTAAAGTTGTTGTAATTTGTATAGCAACATTTTTTAAACTTTTTACTGTCTGAATATAGATCCGTAATCTACTACTATAATAAGATACTATTTTGGCTTTAACCGTTGATAAATATTATTTTTTCATAAATAAATTACCATTTCAGAATATAATGCCGAAAGTGGAACCTGTTGATTCGCCTCTTACTGATGAGTCATCAACAAGTGAAAACACAAATGATACTGACATAGCGATTCTTGATGACAATATGGATAAGAAATACTCGATCACCTCTTCACCAAAATCCCACTTTAGTGACACTAATGGAAAGAAGTGCATTAACGAAGTCAGCAGTACTCAGCCATGTTTAAACACTTGTGATAATGATGATAAAGAGATTGAGATTGATAAGGAAGTGGAAACTGTAATTCAGAGTGGAACAATAGTGGAATCACTTAATATAGCCACAGAGAATTTGAACTTGTTGTCAAATGAGGATATTAAAGGTAAGTAGGTTTATATAATTAATTAGCATTATTCACTCTATCAATGTGTCAGCATATAAATGGCATTGTTTGTTGAGTTTGGTTTTTCTTAAGACGTTAGGTATCAATATAAAAATATGTACACTATCCTAGTTTGTTGCCGAGTCCCATTTTAAGTTGGTCTGTCATGTCTTAAACCCCTGCAAAGTAATTGATAATTTAATTTTAGGTCTGATCTTTGTAAATTACAATGAAGTACAGTTTAGACTATTACAACATTGTTACTGAATAGAGTTTACCTGGATAGGAAAAGGCTGTGGTGGCTAGTTTTACCATTGTTAAGAATCAATATTACATGTCATGTTTAGTAAATCATTTGAAATTTTTAGAATATTGCCTCTTAATAAATATATAAGTAAAATTTTAAAAAAATACTGCAAAAGTGTGTGTGTAACTTTTGATATTTATATAATTCCTTTTGTTTTTCAAATATTTTTTTGTTATTTTTCTTTTTTGATTATTATTATTATATGTCTATGTCTTATATCTTTTTTATCATCATTGATATAATATAAGGAGGATAAAAAATTATTTTCATGGTTTAACAATATAGTCACTTTAGAGTTATGGCAAATAAACTTGAATTCAATTTTCAACAGTATCTATGATTATGTATATATGATTTTAGATAAGTCCGGTACTTCCTATGCAAATCCATCGTTTCCCTGCCCATTCTGTCCACGAGTCTACAATAGCTGGGGATATCGACGGCGACACGTAAAGTCTCGACATATGACTAACAGGTATAAATTATTATATTATTATTTGGTTTGAATTTCATATGCTCCATTAAAAATTATTACTGGTTTTGCCAACAACCATTTTTGTATGAGAGCAGTCCTTTAACTTATAAAATCTAAATTCCAGACTATCCTGCAAATGGTGCGTATCAGTATTACCAACAACTGGAGCGTGGTATTCCCATGCCACCAAAACCCATGGGGTTCCTCACGAAGAAGCCAGAAACTCACTTGTTGTGATGGTAGAAGCTCACGCTGTTTTGACCCTGAATGAGCCGAGTGTTGCCCAATTATTGGGACAAGTAGGCATGGACCCTAATGGAACTGTGAGTGAGAAAAATTAAATAGCTTTTACAAATTACCACCAGATGGCACCAACTTGTTTGTTAACTATCAATTATCGAGGGAAAGTTCTAATAAAATAATTATACGTATATAAAAATGTTATAATAAAGTAACTATGAGATGCAATAACAAAAAAAAGTCATATTTAAAAAGATAGTATCTTCGAATCCTAAAATATATAACTGACATTGTAAAGATGATTTTCGCAACTCCATCAACAATATACAAATAAAAAATATAATATTTTACTTTAATTGAATATTTATAAATTTTTACCAATCGCAGCGCGTAAATTTACCAAATTATAGTCTTTAAAAGTAAAAACTGAAAAATTAAAATCTTACAATACCTGTCAATCTGTGGCTAGGTGGCTGTGGCAGTTGGCTTTAATTCTATGTGTTTTTAATATAATCATTTTTTAATATTGCAACCGGAGACCGCTTTGACAGGGGCACCATCTGGTGGTGCGAATTGAATCTGTTTAAAATCGTATTGTGCTTTGTAGGAACTTAAAGATAAATTTTTGACAGATTTATGAAGCTATATGAGGCATATTGTATGTTGCCTTCTGCCCATTTCTATTAAAACAAAAATGATTACGTACGGCTGTAATTTTATGTGTAAATTTTGGTATATTTTGAAAAGTAAAATTACAAATAATGGAAAACCTTTCTGACTTAAATAAATAATATTTATTCATACTTTGCGTTTTGAGACGTTTCTTAGTTTCCTACAAGGCACAACATTTTGGATTTTAAAACTGTTTTTCGTATGAATTTTACTATCATACATATTATATGTAAACTTTTATAAGAATATTCATTGATATGGCTCATTATAAATTTATATACTATATTTTCGATGTATTTTATATATGTACGGCGAAAGCAAGTTTATTACAGTATATTATATAAAAAAATATATCTTTTTTATAAAAAATCGTCAATTAAATTATCGTCAATATTTTACATCGGTCACCGATTGTATATATGCCAAAGGTATAAATGCAATGCTTCAATGATTCTGTTTTTATCCTATTGATAAGCTAATGTCTTTAATGTTATGATATCTTAAAATGTAGGTAAAGAAATGTATCAAAAAAGGGTGCGTGTACTTATGTACGCGCGTAAGAAGTTATACTTCTTTGGCATTATTAAAAATAGTTTTTGATTGCATGCAAATAATTAATTACAATTAAATAATCAAAGACTGGAAAAGGCGTCATTATAGTCAATAAAGTTCAGTTTACATTTGAAAAATTAAATAAATAAATATTTATTAATATTATATTAATATTTATTATTATTTTCTAATATTAATTAGTATTGATTTAAATATTCAATTTAAATCACTTCTGATTATAATTCAGACGCACATATAAAATTCGCACTTGTATAATGAAAACAAAATTAAAACACGTGTTTTAAATGTAGAAACTCAAAGCATGTGGATAAATATTATAAATATGTGAACAGAGGCGGCGTGCGTGCCAACATGCGCCACTAACTTCATTCTGTTAATTTTGTGTCACGGTGCGCACGCATCGTAAAATTTCACTCTCATCAATTTTTCATAACGCGCCTAAAGAAGTATAACTTCAAAAACTTATCTAATTTTGCCTAAAATACTGTCCCTGTTCATAAACAATAAACAAGTTTAATCTAATCTTTCAACTTGAGTATTATTTTGTCTTTTTCTGGTTTCGCTGTGACGAAAAGAGACTGGTGTCTTTAGTCAAAGTGCCATTAACTTGATTTATTTTTTATGAATTATGAATTGTCTTTTAAGCAAAAAAAATTAACACAGATTAAAAAATCCTTTGACATCAGCAATGTTAGTGAGATAAGCCTGGTCTTAAAATAATATAAGTGTGTGTTTAAGATAAAACTATTTTGGTGTTCTTACTTTTAATTGATCGGTGAGACGAAATTTTAAAATTAATATTATATATAATTCGATTCGAAAACATACATAAAATATTAATGTAACACTTATAAATTTTATAATATTTCGTTTGGCGCCATCTTGTTTACGTACGGCGATCTTATTTCTATGGAATAGATAAATAAGGAACGAAGGTATGTACGCCGCACGTGTCAAGTGTGTTAAACAATCATACTTTATTTTGCTTATGTGTGAAATGTAATGGTGAGAGACGACAGAAAGAAAGCGGTGACAATTGGTACGTCGATCCTTATTTATCTATACTTAACTTGTGAATTACATAAACATTAATTTTGATCTCACTTACTCAAGTCAGAGTTTAGATTTAAGGACGAGTTTAATAAATTGTGTGTCATATTGTATTTTATACGAATAGATATAAGAATTGAACCTATCTTATGAGCAATGAATTAACCAAAATATTTTTGTAATTCGAGAATTATGGTTATATACCGCCTCTGGTTTAGGCGTATATATTGACGGGACGTATTATCCGAGAACCGTGTAGTTTGTCGGCTCTGAAGACTGATTACCAACTCGCCTGGAATTATTAAAACAGATCCAATAATCAATTAACCGACGGGACGAGGCTTCAAGTTCAAAATAAGTCCATATAGTTAAGTAATGTGTGTTTAATGAAAAGTACAATTTTTTGAACAATTAAAATGGACTATAAGAGTGTCTGGTTTTGACAGATTTTCTCCATACATATGTGGTACATAATAATGAAAGAGAAATAGATTTTTCAAACGTTTTATTCTCAGAAATAACATGATGAATTATTTTGAATAGAATTCTGAAACATATCAACTCGTACAAATGATTGATGAGCTTATTCGTAATATTTCTAATCTAAAACAATAAATGTCCTATTTAAGAATATACTCGCTAACACAAGTCCATAATAGCATAAACATTTTGTCTAAATACTCTTTAATATAATAATTTTATTTAAGATGACCACTTAAACTAGGAAACATAAGCAATATTTTTAAGTAATCATAAGTTACCAAAGCAATGTTCGATGTAAGATCTACATAGTCATAGTATATTTTTGTATGATGATCGCACGGTGATTCAAAATTGTAATAACGATAAATTAGCGTTTTTACGTAATTATATAAATAAAGTGAACAGGTTTTATCGCTCTTTGATATATTAATAAGATTTTTAATTAAATTGACTTTTTGTTGTCACTAATGTCATTAAAACACAATTATGTAATGCTTTCCAAGAGTTTTTAAGTATTACATTTGATACATGTTCAAGGTTATATCTTAGGGCGATGGAATCCGTTTCTTTGAAATCAATTTAAAATAACAATCTTATGACCTAACCTGTAACTCATGGCTTTAAAGTTAATCAGATGTAATGCAGTGAGAATGTATTTAAGACAAAGAAGATTCAAATATATTTTTTACGAACTATCAAGCGTTTTCTTACAAATCCGTCACTGTTCCTTCTACAGAAATGCCCGGTGCTATTTCAACTGTTTTGCTCTCATCTCTGTTGTCCATAAAGTTGTTTTTGGGCTTAAGGTAGTCATCAGATCTCGACACCGGGTCGTCATAATTGTACCTACCAGAAGGAGATGTTGGTGTTGTTGGCGCAGAGGTCATATTTCCGCTTTCTGAGCGCCTCGGACCTCTATAGGTTTGTTCCGTAGGAGTTATTATACGTTTTGGCGGCGCTTGAGCTCTTTCAAAACCACCGTCATTCTCTCCATAACGCTTCATGGAAGCTCTATTTTTTGGTGTTTTTTTTAGCATAGCTTGAAAATTAAACGGAGGATTGTCATCGTCAGTGTTTAAATCCCCTGTAGACTTGGCCAGAGCTTGCAGCTCGCGTACGGGATCACACGCCTCTGAATCAGGGCCGTAAAAGCTGGTGCTGCGTCTAGGAACTGTAGGTTCAAAGATGTCTTCGTTATTTGTCGCCCACGGAGTTGGGGGCTGATAGAACTTTTGTGGCGAAGAGACGTGCTTCTTATTGTAGAGCACGGGTCTATTGGGAGCGTACTCCATCTTGGGCTCGTCCGGCACCTTGGGCATAGGCTGCGTGGGATCTCTGCAGAAGGGCACGCTAAGGAGGGTCTGTGTACTCTTCGTTCTGGTGGTTGATCCTGAAGAACTAAACCGATGTTTGAAAGGTTCGTCCCACTGCTCGTGGTCTGAATCGTATTGACTGGCAAATGTGTCGCTATAATGAGAAACCAGTAGGTTAGAATTAGGGGACGGCACTCTGCGAACTTAAATGCATTATGTTAGTATTAGAAAAAAAGGCTTTGATTCTAACAATAATGAAGATATGTACACCATAATGAAAAATAAGTCGCAGTTTACCTTTTAGATCTAATAATGTTCCTGAATCAGGAACTACTAGCAAAAATCAAGAATATGGTTAGTTATGAAAAAAATACTATACGACGATTTTCCAATTGGGAAAATATTTTTACATAAGCCATCGTATAGTTGTAATTAAAAACATTGATACGTACTTGCTTTTCACTTTAGGATCGCACATGTGCGAGGTGTCGAAATACTGAATTTCATCAAGTCTGAAGGGCAGCTTCCACACAGTTGGACGCGGGGTTCCAAGGAATTCTTTCCTGGCATGTGGATCAATACGTTCAAGTAATACTGATGAATTTGTGTTCAATAATCCTTCAACTAAAACTTGGTTGTACATGTGTATCTGAAATTGTTGAAATATTCTTGTAGGCGCTTGTAAAAAGTTTGGTTGGAGGAGACAATCATATCCGTTTTGTATCAAACTATTTTTTTTTATTTAGTTTTATTGATCAATATGTAATACCTGTTGTGAGAAATTAACTAGGTCCTGGTAACGAAGAGCACGGTACTGGAGAAGAACTTGGAAAAGCGATCTACTCTTCCACTTCCTCGCAAAGCGCTTCAGAAAAGACGACGTTTCCTCATCGATCTCGCCAGTTGATTTGTTGACTATTGGTCCATATGCCTTTCGGACAACGAATCCTCTGTATGCTAGAAGATAGCAGGTATTTTGTGTTATCAAATGCTGTTTATATTCATTTCTAATTGCCTTAAATTTTATACAAAAAACCTTGGTAGCTTAGTGTCATAATTTTTTTTTCTGTGCTCAATTAAGATTTAGACGATAGACCAAAAACTGTCACCAACTTGTCTATAGAGATTACTTCTAACGTGTTAATGTCATGCTAACTTAGGTATGCAAGTAGGGTTTGAATGTTGCCCGGACATTATTTATTCAATTACGTTTGAAGCGATACGGGTCATAGTTTTCGAGGAATTTTGTATAATTTTACACATATACATACCTTTCTGTATAACCAAAGCAGCCTCCTCATCGTTCATATTTGCCGACTTCTGTTTTTTTAATTCCTTGACTGAAATAGATGGATGATGAATCATTTGTTTGTATTTTACGGTGTATAGAAACGGATGGAATTGGCTAATCTTTCTGGACAATTGTTTCTAGCATAATTTCAGTAGTACATTTCATTGTCTATAAGCAACGCCACGTAAGCAGTTCTAGCCAAGTTAACAAGCTCCTGAACCAATGTCCGTCCGTTTCTATGCATTAGCCCCTGTATTCACTCACTATGCATAGCCTTGGATTTGCTTTGCACAGCTTTCCGCTTCGCTAAGAAGGTACGCATCATACTTTGCACCTTAACTATTTTCTTCACTTGTGTCTCATACAACCTGTTAATAATAAATAAATTATTTTTGATATGTTTCTTAATTTAATGCCCCTAGTCATTAAATTAAGAAACATATCAAATGGGATGCCAGAATTTATTCAAATGGGACAGCAAATAAGTGCAAGGAAGATCAGAGAAACTGCAAAAATATGCTCCAGTTTTGCTCAATGAAAACTGCTATTTAATACGCCAATTTTAACGCCCTGTGGAACGCCTCTGGAGTTTTTAGGATTTTTGTTTTGAACTCTACGTAGCAATAATAAATTGTATCTAACAGTCTCAAAATACAACCGAATTACCTGGATAAGAACTCTTCGTTGTAATATTTCAAAAATGCTTTCGATTTTCCTAATTCCCATCCTTCCATTTTCAGTCTGATCATTAAGAGACGGCAATTGTCTTTTGTTTCGTCTACATTCTCATCAAAATCAAAAGCCAGGAAACGGTATCTGCGAAAATTTTTTTTTTATCTTTGTTCATATTCGACATTGATTGAAGATATAACAATTCAAGAGAGCCTGTCGCATGCGACAAAGGCGACTTGAATTGCGTGTGCGTTTAAACATTGGATTATAGTAGACTTGTAAAGAGACAAATGAAATCAATAGGGGCCTCATAGCCCAGCGGTCTTATTAAGTGGCAGCTAGGTGAGGGGTACCGGGTTCGATTCCCGGTTCGAGGGCAAGTTTTAATTTAATTTAAATTTGTTCTCGGCCTTTGGGAGGGTTGTGCGGTACCGGGCGAGTGCCTAAAACCGTACATGGAGGACACGGTCGAATTTCTAAAGACAAGCACGAATTATATAAAAAAATCCTATACTTGACGCTGGCTACTGCACAAATCGTGCCAGAGCCATTAAAAAAGAAAAAAAAGATGAAATCAATAGTTATATATTTTTAAGTATCCTTCTTCAAGTAACTTACCATCTTAGCTCGTCTTATCACCTATTGGGTAGGGAGCGTGGGGCTTGTTGTAACAGGGGTAAATAGTAACAGACCTTTTTCAATAGGAATTTGAATTTTATTCACGTTTTTTTTTAACCTAATCTTAAACTTATAACGTGCCACGCCACTTTACCACAGCCAGGGGTCCCGCCAGGCGGCTCAGTGAGTGGGTGTGTGCAAACGCTTTATTGTTGACAGGTAACCTATAATTTTACTAACGTAAATTTTTTGTTAGTTTCACTATTTTCATAGATTTGAAGATTTATGTATTTTATTTTATGCTAAAATATAACTATTTATGATGTTGTATAACAGTTTTCAAGATTACTAAGTTGATTTAATAGTTATCGTGATAAATATTAGGAACTATATCAAGGGGCTAGTTGTAACAAAACCTCGGGGTTTGTTGTAACATGTTACAATTTGCCCCCAGATTGCTGTAAGCTACTGACGGCCGATGTTCATTTTTCCCCTGGCTTAAATACTCAGAAATGTTCATTCGCGGTGGTCCTCAAGATTGCATTGGAGCTGGTAATTCTTCAGGGTGGATGACTGATAAAGAATTTTTGATTTTTGTAGATCATTTTATCAAACACTCGAAACCTACCAAGAAAGAGCCAGTTCTGTTACTGCTCGATAATCATTGCTCACATGTGAATATCGCAGTTGTCGAAAAAGCCAAAGAAAAACAATGTTATCATGTTATAGTTTCCTCCCATTGCTCCCACAATTTGCAACCTATGGATGTAGGAGTCTACGGCCCTTTTAAAAACTACGTGAAAGAGCAATATGCATGGATGTATAATAATCCAGGAAAAACGATGACAATTTATGACATCATAAGTGTAGCGAAGGAGTCATTATCACTTGCCTTAAACCTTGCAAATATTATCAGTGGATTTAAAGCTTCTGGTATTTGGCCTTTGAATGTTGATATTTTCCAAGATAGTGACTTAGCGCCCTTTTATTTTACTGATTGCCAGAGCCTACAGAACAATCAGATTGTTGAATCAGATGTTCTAAATTAAAGTGAGAATTTATCGTTGAATCTTAAACATCCAGAACTATTAGATTCTGCTCCTGAAGTGGATATTAGCACAACAGAAATTATATGCCACATTGAAACTGCGAACAAACCAACCCCAAGTTGCTCTGGTCAAAAATAAATTTTTCCCATCAAAGATTAGACCATTACCAAAGGCGCCACCACGAAAAACAAATATAAATTGCAGACGCAAAAGGAAGTCTACTGTTCTGACTGATACGCCTGAAAAAGAAGCTTTGAGAGTAGAATATGAAGAAAAGATGATAAAGAAAAGTGAAAGGGGAAAGGAAAAGTTAAAAAATCTGCGAAAAATAAAGATGGAATAGAAAGGGTGAAAAAAAGGATTCTAAGTTCATATTCAAAATTGGAAGATAGTTAAAATCTTAAATCTTTAATTTGTTGATTATATTTTTTTCCAGTTAACTATTTCATAAAAAACACATTATAGAAATACCTAGTTAGTTTTTGTTATATACAAAGCAAAATGATCCAAGATGTGAAAAAAATTAAACAATTGAAGGTGTCATTTTTTGTTGTTACAACTAGCCCCAACCACGGGGTAAGTTGTAACACTTCACTTTTTTCAAAAAAAAATTAAATTGTGAGATAGTTGCCTGTAGATTTGATAATATTTAGATTAGACTTTATAGATAAATAGTTAGAGTATCGATCAAAGTTTATTTAGTAGTAATTTAGCCAATACACTTCATGATATTCAATTATATGTTAAAATTGTTACAACTAGCCCGCCCTATATATTACAAAATCGGAATAACGTTTAGAAACATTTACCCTCACAAACTTTCACCATAAGAATATTACTTACTAAATGTATTAATGATTATTTGTGTGAACATTATAATTAATATTAATTAGATAATATAATAAGATATTTTAATAATGTGATGATGTAGTGATAAAATAATATAATAATTTACTAAAATGATATAATTCATAATGTAATATGTAACTTGTATGTAAAATTCTACTCTTTGCCAAATTTACACGCCATTATATGTGACACAATATACGAAGTCTGTAGCACCATAACATTTTTGAACCATATTCTTCCAAATAAATTATTATTATTACCAATGCCAAAGTAAATTATTGATACATTTACATATGGAATATGTACCTTTTAATGAATTCAGCGAACGGTATACGATACGAGAAGCCACACTGACGCGCTTTTGCTGTGTCCAACACCGCCATCGCTCTCAATTGCTGCTTTACGACTTCAGTTTGAAATCCTCGAGGATTGTCATTTAGATCTGTTCGGACACATCGGACAAAGTGTAAACCGTTGCTCGTTGAAAGTTGCTTCAGAATTTCCAAACTTGTTACTCTGTATGTCGCTGCTGCAGTTCTCATTCTTCGCACTTGCGAGTATTGTCCCTTTGACACGGTGTTGAATTTCTGAAAGTTTATATCGTAACTCATTAAAATCAATAATAATGTTTTGTTTACCTTTTGATTAATTATGTAGGTAAAGCAGTTCGATACTTGCTCATCTACCAGATATAATGTTGTAAGATAAAAAATACACATCGAATTAATGTGTCGATCTCTATAGAATAATAATTATATTGTCTCAACAAAAAGTTCTAGAAGTTTACGAAACTTCTAGAACATTTTACGATTACAATTTCATATGAACTCACCCTAGCCTTGATATTTTCTTGCTCTTTTTGTGATTTGGTTCGATTCGCAGAAGATTCATTTTCATTTGGAGCCAAGGTAAGATTGCCCGTCTTTGTGAGCCTATTTTTGAATAACTGCTGCATCGTAAGATTAGTCGAGGCTCGCATAGTTTCAGTCATTTCAGGTGGTAAAAAGTCTTTATTCTTGTCGGCCATTTCCCTTGTATCATAATTGACTTTTCCCGTGTAGTGAGCAACGCTGAATTCGTGACTGCCAGCTAGCTTCACGTATGGCCCTTTGCAGGAAGCTCTAACTGTGCCTAAATACAAAGAAAGTTACATTTCATCGGCTTCCTAACTGAGAAATATTTGTTTAATCGTTCTAGTAGTTTTTAAATTAAATTAAACATGCATAGATGTATTTCGTTCCATAAAGAATGTACATTGTACACATGTGATAAAACATCTCTTACTCATTATAAAATCCTGTCCACCTCCTGTACGGCTGGCTTCATCTAGAATGTAGAATATGCCATGCGGTTTCGCCAAAAGTTGATCAACCGAGTTCTTATTATCGTAATAATGTAGAGGTAAAACTGGCACTTCTTCTTCCTCTTCTTCTTGCATTTCCCAAGCAAATATTTTTTGGTTGTAGAGAAATTGCAGCTGTTCATTTGTTGTGTTTACAATTAACTGTTCCAGTCTATTTCTGTGATAGCATTCAAAACCAAATACGTCAATTAAACTGACCGAATATTTGTCGCCACTGTAATAGTAATGATAGCATTCATTATTCTAAAATACTACTTGTTATACTAATCATAGGGGTTATAGAGTAAGGATACTTACAAAACTTGTCGCATAAAAGATAATTTAGAATTAATCAAGTTTATCATCCAATCGACCAATCTTTTGTATAAAGTACTTGCTAATGTATCTCTTGCATCTCTAGCTTCATCAGTTGAATGTTTACGTTTTACGGCGTTTCCGTTTTCTATCAAACAGTAGTTGAGCAAAGCCCACATAAACTTTACCTCATCAAGAGATAATAGTTTTGCCACCTTTTTAGCTTCGTCTGGGTTTTCTATTTCCGCCGAACCAGATTTACCATCCCTAAATCTTACATTACCAAGAACTAATATTGCTGCTAATACAGTTTCAAAGAACGTGATTTCATCTTCTTGCCAATCAAGCAATTTCAAATACTCGATTATATCCTTGTATCGTTTAGCACTGTCTCGAGGATTTTCCCGTGCACCTTGAATGCCTCTTACTGAATCGTCCAGTATTCTCAGATACCTGTGCTTTCTATTTCGTTCTAGATACAGTTCACTCAGTTTATTATCAGCTTCTTTAGAATCATAAAAATAATACATTATATTGAAATTAGCATGTGACCTGAAACAACCGTTACGTTTCAAATTCATAATTCTAAACATTTTAATAATATATCGTGTTATACATACATATCAGTAGAGGATACCCTCCATTTCTCAAGTTGATATAACCAAAATATGGCACCACTCAATTTTCCTGAGCTTCCGTAAGTGACTTGTATGTGGAAAATTCCTCGCGTGGAATTACAGTGTATTGGAGTAGCCGCACTTATGCAGGCGAGAATTATTGTAGTTGCATTTTGAATTCGCTCTCCTGTGTTATTTTTCATTGCACCCAAGAATGTTAAGTGCGAAAGTGCATGGAGTACACTTGTAGTCTTTCCGGACTTACTTTCTCCAGAAAAAACTATGTACTGCTGTTCATTGTGATGCAAAGCATTTTGGTAAGCGCTGTCAGCGACAGAAAAAATGTGTGGCTCATTATCTGATCTAGATTTGCATTCATACTTTTTGTGATACTGAAAACAAATCAGATTACAATTTAAATTGAAAATTTCGTGTGTGTTTTTTTTGCTCGGAATAACAGTAATATAAATGGCTAACAGCCGTTAGACATTTTCTAAGCAAACACTAGAGTACCGACCCTTCAAAACAGTTTGGGTGTAACTAGTCCGGGTCCACTAAACCTACGTTAGTGAAAAGTTTCACAACACCCGTTCAGTGTTTCTTCAAAGAACAGTCCATTAATTATTAATAATTATATATTTACCTCTTCATTATAAATATCGTCAGAAGAGTTAGGATTAAGTATTAACAAGATATCTCCAATGAAAGACATAAAAGATCCCTTTTCTAATTTAGTATGTATTTCGCTTAGAATATTTTCCTCAGTTAAGCATTCTAAGGCAGCTAAGTCTTCTACTTGCATGGTTTCGGGTTCGTGTCTGCCTTGCGTAATAAGAAGACCTTCTTTAATAATGCGTTCTGGTTTTCTTGGTGGTGTTTCTTTTTCTTGCAGGTCATTTGCTAGCATTTTTATTTCCGTAGAAAGCTGTAATCGTTTAAGAAAAGAGAGTATTTTAAGTTCGACGTTTGAATTGAATAGCAGCTATACATTTAATTGCTAGTGGTAGTAATTAAACCGATGAACATCAATTAGTGGGTAGTAAATAGCAAATCAGTTATCATAATACATGTCATACCGTTTATTAATACCAGTTTCTTTAATTTGGATTTAAAGGACAGTTAATAATGTTTTTTTCTATACGATTAAACTCACATGGAAATCATTTTCTGGGACGGACTGAATGAATGGATGTTCCTCCAACTCCATAATAAAAGGTCGGTGTTCTGGATTTTTTTCAAGGCACCTGAAAATCACATGCCATTAACTTGTAGCAAATTAAAACTATGTTTAGATATTTAACACAATACTTCGCTTCCTCAAAGTGTTGGTTCACCAAGAAAACATAGTTTGAACAAAAATTATTCTATCTCACATACAAATTTTATTTTTGTTTTAATGAGTGACGTGCTATTCCTGTGAGGAAAAGGATATTCGTCCCTTGGGATATAAGAATTAATTTATACTAACTCATTTATAAAATCGTTAATTTCATTTGACGACATCGCTGGTTTCAGCACGCCTGGGGGCGGATTTCTGAGAATTTGAAACAGGGCTCCAGTGGGATGCATATCTTCGAAGGGTCCCTTTCCATCAACCATTTCAATAGTTGTGATTCCCAGGGCCCACACATCAACCCTGTTGTCATATCCCTCTTCACCTCTAGTTACCATTTCAGGGGCCATCCAACTCGGCGATCCAATATAAGATGTCGTTTTATCTAAAGCGTCTTTTAATTGACAGCACAATGAGAAGTCGCAGATTTTTATTTCGCCATTGTTCTTTATAAGTATATTACTGGCTCGTACATTGCGATGCATAACTTTGTTCTCGTGGAGATACACGAGTGCCTAAAATGCCAAAATAATTTCCATAAGTGATATTTATATGACCTAAGACTTGTAGGCGAAGTTAGTAACGCTCAGCATAAAGAGGAATACTTTGAGTTTGTGAGGGTGACAAAGGCTAATAACACACCATCATATAAACGAAAGTTATTGGTGGTGGATATGTGATGTGGTTTGTAAAAACAATATGTTTGGTTTTAATGAAACATATTACAATGTATAAAACGTGGTTTACAATGATTTAGTACATATCAATTAGGTACAAACAGTTATTATATACTATATTCTCAATAGTTAAGTCGTACCTCGACTCACCACTGTTATATTGTAATAACAGTGAATATATTAAGTGATTACATTGTTAAAGGGAGCCAATGGCGGGAGTGAATCTCTTTGACACGGAGTGATGGAGCGACCGCCCTAACAAATGACCTGTGACGCCTCAATGACGCTACCATCAACGTCACTCAGAGGTCCACGCCCATGTGATTCATTGGAGCTATTTGCATACGCCAGCCTGTCCCATATACTGATATATCAGTCGCTTAATGTGTTCCTTGCACGTTTTATTGTAGGGATGTCAATTGTACCAAGTAAATTATTAAGGACTAATCAAAAACAATAATTGCACGATAGTCTACAGGCATCAAATACCTAATATGTCGTCATAAGTAACAAATAGTAAATAATTTAACTAATGTGGTCGTTGTTAACGTTTCTTAATATATATATATTCTTTTTTGACGTTCATAAGTGTACATTGTGTTACCTATATGAATAAATGAATTTAACTTTTGACTTGTAGCTGTATAATATATGTATATTGTATATTGTATAATATATTATGATACTAGCTGACCGGGCAAACGTCGTTTTGCCATATATATCATTTATAATAAAAAAATAGGGGTTTATCGTAGAGGGGTGAAAGTTAGGGGTTTGTATGTATTTTTTAATGTTGTATCATAAAAAAATAAAAACAGAAAAAAATATCTAAAAATAAAAAAAATATATTTAGGGGTGGACTACTCTTAACATTTAGGGGGATGAAAAATAGATGTTGTCCGATTCTCAGACATACCCAATATGCACACAAAATTTCATGAGAATTGGTCGAGCCGTTTTGGAGGAGTATGGCAACGAAAACTGTGACACGAGAATTTTATATATTAGATGAAAAATACACAAGACAACACGTAAAATGAGGTATCGAGCATTGTGAGCCAAGAGGTTTACATAAAGATAATATCCATTCTAGTCGTTTTAATTTAGCAAGAGCTCTAAATAGCGTTATGGTTATTTCGGTCTGTATAGACGAGGTTGTAAGGGATATTTTGTGGCAGCAGGAACGAGTCTGAGGTACCCGCGGCTACCGCAGCAAGGTCGTATATCTTCCGTGTGCGAGCATTATTTACGATAATTGAGCGATGCTTCGCAATGGGGGGGCATCACGGTGTTGTAGAGCGATCAGACATTCACATCGACAACTTGGAGCGTTCCGTCTCGAATCACATCGAATAATGCGGCTGCGTTTAAGTAATGGCCCTAGATTTTAGTACGCGGAGGATTGCTCGGCTATATTTTATTCCATGTCGAGGGCAACAATCCCAACTGATCCGAAAACAATTGAGTTTGCATTCAAAGTAACTACCAATTGATTCAGCCTTTGAAAGCTCGACTGGCAGGGCCTTTGTTTTATAAGCAGCGTCGAGTTGTATGTGACGAACGACATGTTTATAGTCATTCGGATTGGACTTACCTTAATCGTATATTTGAGGATGTAAGCGATGTGTTCTTCGGACATTTTTTTGTCCATCGCATTCAATTTTCTGACAATATCGATGACAGATCCGAATTCGCATAGCTGGGGAATAAGCGATTCATTATATCGAATTCGATAGGACATAACTAATTCTGATAATATTAAGTCGTAAAGAACTTACCTCAATGACGAACCATATTTTCTTGACATATTCGGATCGTTCGCAGAAGACACCGTAAAAGTCGATAATATTTGGGTGTTTTGTAAAATCTCTTAATATTTTACATTCTTCATGAATGTGTTGTTCTTTTGTGTCTGTTAAATTGATTACTTTGACGGCGACCGATTTGCCAGCAGCCTGATCGTCGGATGCTTGAAATACTTTTCCGAATATACCAGATCCGAGTTTCTTTTCAATTTTATAGCGATCATGAGGGCTTGATAACGATGACACGTTCAAGCCATCCCTCATTCTAACTTCGTACATGGTTCACTGATTCATGTGTCCTTTTTAATACTTTAACTTAGTAAGTCTATAAAAGAGAAGTCAAATGTGATCTAATATTTAATTGATGGTCAAATAAAAAATAACACTTACCGAGTCCGTCTACCACGGTTTCACGACTTACAGTGAAAAATTGAATAGGTAGCTGCGAACTCTAAAAAGTGCTGGGGCTTCGCGGAATTAAGTACACTTAATCCGTTTACGATACCACTAACACCATTACGGACTTTGAATTCCGATTGCGCATACACATAGCTATGCGATAATAGAATTTCCATTGTACGAAAATAAAAATATATAAGAAAATTTATTCATTCGAGTTTCATCATCGGACATCGAGGCAGACTACGGAATTCCACCCGTATCACCTCGATGTTCGTTGTTCCACAACTGAGCGTTTTTAAGGTAGTTTTTGCCGCACACGCGCACTATCTGTATTCCGGTACCAATTCGACTTAGGGTCCTTCAACAAAAGAGCGTACCAATTCAAGAAAGGCCGGCGAGTCACTTGCGAGTCCTCTGGCCATGCCTTCTGCCAGTTTGCCCCCAGTTATATATATTCTCAAAAAGTAAAATTTCAGAAAAACACTGTATGTGTAACAATTATTATGAAAAAATAACATAAATTTATAATTAAAGAGATTTTAGAACCATATTTATCCCTCGGTAATATAAATAATAAATAATTTCTTATCCTAATATGACAATTTTTTATTCAAAAGCATTACTTATTGGCTAATAGTTAAAATAAAAATACAACGGCACCTTTAACTTCGCCTCAAAGTATCTGTTTCGTGATAATTTGTTTTCTCCAACAGGCAAGTAGGTGATCAGCCTTCTGTTCCTTACATACATCATCGACTTTTTGGATATAAGGCCTTTTCACGATGTTTTCTTCCCAATACGTGCGAGTATTAAAAGCGCTCATAGACATATATACAGATACTTCATTGGTGCACAGCCGGGGTTCGAACCGACAACTTAAAGGATAAAAGTCGCACGCTGAAGAAATTTTAATTACAGTATTTTAAAATCAACAATGGACGTTAAATACTAACGCTAGAAATACATGTGCTGGATGACAATCCTTCCAAACAACTCTTAGTTTGCAATATAACGTAAATTATAATTTTATTTTAAATTATAATAATATTAATTATTTATTTTAATCAAAACGATTAAGTTTGCATCCTATTGCGGCATATTTAACGTAACTTCAAGTACTTATGGGAATAATCGATCTCTTAAAATCACCGTTACGATGCGAATTAACATCTTTGTAAGAATTTTCAAAGACCGAATACAATTGAAGTATTGTCAGTAACAATATGTCCATTGAGCTGTCAAAAATATTACATCACTAATCTGTCATGTTTGTTTGTGTTTCCGCTTCACATAATTTGAAGTGATAGATTAGTGAATGATAGGCACTTCTTATAAGTGCAGAGCGAAAATATTTTAGTTCATTTTGTTGTTATATGGAGGGTTATTTTGCTTAAATTTTGCGAGCTTAGACCATAAGACTAACCATAGACAATCGATTTCTATTACTAATTACTATAGTAATAATAATTTCAATCGTTAATTCCGATTTACATTGAAATTAAACGGCATTAAGAAATTCTACTGCCTCCATATTTTTAATATAATAGATACCTATACAATTTTGTGGGAAGTATTCGTATCATGTTTAATGCGCTGATACGATGGCAATATTGACAATTGACAAAAGAATTTTGCAATGTATATTTTTATAAATAATATTCAGTTTTGGATTATTAAAAAAAAAACAAGTGCGTTTACCTCGTTTATTTGAACATTTGATACAAAATGCATTAGCTAGGACTATAATAAATATTAAATATTACACAGAATATGGAATTAATATTTACAAGACGGAATGTTATAATAGTCTACATTTAATACTGATAACAATTACTATGTTAAAGCTATATTTATGTAAGATATGTAAATTAAAATAATTGTTAAGACTAAAAATTTATGTTATTTTAATTTAAACTGTGCTATTTTAAATTAGCCTAATTAATTATCAAAAATTTTAATTTATATCTAAATCATAATTACTTCACAATTTATTTACAAACTAATAATTCCGTGTATTTGTGCATACCAGTTTAATTAAACTAAATAATTAAGAGCGCAATTTAAATTTATATTAAATTTAAATTGTCTCTTCTCCATAAATTGTCGTATTTTTGCATGATGGTTTCTTTAATATGTATTCCATTAAAAGTAGCTTTGAACGCACGACCTAGTGTCGAAAATCTCTCTAGAATTTTTTAGAGAATACCAACAGTTTGCTCTAAATTTTACCGCTCTTACTTACATACAGCAATCCACTTATCGTCTTTACACTTTTGGCAATCGACTTTACAACACCAATGGAACGTGCAGTTGCAGGGCTTTACGCTCGACTTCCGAATAAGATCGTGACCTCTCCCGCAACAGAGGAGGTCACAGGAGCCCGTCCTCGAAGTCCTTCCGATGCGACACACCCTGCCCGATGTTCCTGGCGAGTCGAGCTTGGGATCCGCCTCGCAGAAGCTTGGGGATCTATAAATATTTGTTATTTGTACCTATATATTTCAAAATTTAAATTATATTATTAATTGAAATAATCATCGAAACCTATGTCTAGATATTTATAATGTTTTTTGTATCTCGCATTATTTATATCTATTTTCATTTCTATACAAGTATCAAGAAAAGAGTGAAAATTTAAAGATGTAATGTATTTACTGTGAAAGTGTAAATATACCAAAGAAATTATTTTTTGAATTTTTTTATAGTCTGAATTTTGCATGAAAAATATTTATATGTAAGTAATAACTGCTACGAGTAATAGAATAAATAAAATTAGCTTTTGTCTCTTTTATCTATGGTATACTTTATTTTTAGACATATACGATTAAGAGTTTTACTATGCCCTTTAATTCCTTACTTTTCAAAGAACAGTAAACTTGTCTTTGGTGCCGGTCTAGCTTTACTCTTCCTTCTGCCGCGAGGTCTGCCTCGCAGCACTGATACGCCGTTGTTGAGACCTTCTTGTGCTACCATTAGAGCCTGTAGAATATGTAGAACATTGAAAAGCAGCCTAATGTAAATGTAATTTAAATATATAATTCTGATTCATTTGATTTTACAGTCGCCTACTATCTCGAATTGCAGTTTAACAAAAGAACGTTACAACGCAATTATAATATGCCCGATAAGCTAACAACAGAAGGAAACATGATAGTAAAGAACATTTTTATCTTCCATTGGATCAATGGTCAACTTATGTAAGTCTAACTTAAGTAAAGTAATGTCTGTCTTTTCAAAGGATACCACGATTTCGGCGGTAAAGGTTTTACTATTACAGTCAAGCAGCTTTAGTGACTTTGATAAACTTTGGATAGCTTTGAAAATAGAACTGTAGAATAATACTACTTTAATGGATATGAACATAAACGGCGCTTCGAGTCCTGTGCTAGGACATGTGCAGAAATATGCAGATATATATGTATGATTTAGACTTTAGAGTATTGAAGGCCTTCTAACGCCATTTGATTTTTTAATCTGTACTCCAAAGACGATATTTGTGGATTTACTTTAACTTACTTTACGATATTGTTTTTTAATGGTAGTGGCTACGACTCTAAAATCGGGAGTGGCTCTCCAACAAGTTCGAAGCTGGCAGCTACCAGACAATCCGTGGCACTTACACCTCACCTCCATGTGTGATGCAAGGATCTAAAACGCCAGAAAAAAATTTAAATCAAATTAAAATGCAAATGATTAAAACGTTAAACTTAGAATTATCAAAACGAATTCGTATAAAAATTAAAAATGACAAGTATCTTCCCTATTCTTGCTTGCCCATATTTAAGAAAGATGTTAATTGCAAGAAAAAAAGCGATGAAGCGAATGTCTTTGTATACTGCATATTCCATATCTTGCTATAATCTATAATCTACATTGCTATTATAAGATTAAAATCTTCAAAGTTCCTCAGCCAAATCTTCATAAATAACGAAAGTCACAGACTAGATATAATATATTTTTTTAATACCACTGTGCTGTTCTTAACTACATTATCTCATACAATGTCCATGATCGCATTCATTCCGATATATTTATTGCATCGCTCAGTAATTTTTCAAAGGCCTGAATCATAAATCTGAACGTGACCACATCTTGGCACAATTACCCGCACCACCCACCTAGCTCATAACATTTACATAATTAAACGCCTCACAGCAATCACGCTGACGTCTTAATTTCGCGAGCGCCGCAAGCGAAATAATTTCCCAAATTGAAGCTGTACAAAAATTCAAATAAATCGGCGCAAGGCCCGCCCTTCCATCCCGGTGCCTTAATGGCGTGGAATTAAGACAGTTCGCGATAGAATTCGCCACCCAAGACGTTTGTAATACGACATAATGAAGGTGGAATATTAAAAATGGAGTCGAACCGCTTATTATGTTCTCACCTCGGCGGGCTGTTTGTGAAATACGGCGGGTTAATATGGCCCCGGAGGCCGGCGCGTTCGACCCTATCAATAGTTTCAATAATGCCACTTTCTACACTTTAGCTGGCTTCGGAGCGGCTAATTGTATGCTGTATTGATTTATGGCTTTACATTTTGTGGTGAATCGCGGTTTATTTAAATATGGTACAGTCTTAAATGCACATATACTATAATTATTAAATTCGTTTTGTGTCTCTATTCCTTTCTTTATAATAGAACTAGCTATTGAGTTGGAACTCGTTTAGTTAATTTGTATTAACTTAAAAGTGATGAGGTTTTATATATTATGTGCCTTCAGGGTTCAAATGAATAAAAATAATTCAATCATAAAATATACCAACTGATAATATGTTTATATTACCTAATGTTATGAAGAATCAGTAGGAAATAAAGACAAATATTTTTACATAGATTATCATATTACATATGTATGTATATTAACACGATCTCTATTATAATATTAACTATATTATGATATATGCAACCATTGCACATAATATCACCCAATGGGCATTTATTACGAGTAAATAATAAATGCAAATTAAAATCACTAAATATAAACTCAATAACATGTCATCAGGTACTTGAAATTAAATCATTAGCCAGTATTAAGTGTTTATACAGTGCCGATGGATGTACTTAAAATAATGGTATTTTGAAGAGTAAATATGATGTCATTAAGAACTGGTTCATGGTAGCAAAAACTAGACAAATAATTATAGTACGAGAACCCACCATTAAATACAATAGGCCAATTAAAAACGCTCGAAGTATGTAATTTTGTTTGACGCGTCTTTATCTTGGAGGTGACTTTGTCTCAAGGTTCTCTATTTTGGAGTCGGTTAAGTTATTAGGCTATTATTTGAATTGCAAAATAGAATGATGATTTAAAAATCGTTGTGTTATTTAAAAAAAAATCTAGCGACAGGATATTAAAATCTGATCTTTAAACTAATAACAGTAAACTGTCAATACATGCACCACAGCAAGTGTCGCTGAAGTTAACTAATCGTGGTCTAGCCTATCGATTAAATGAGCATGCAACAATTTAGCATCAGCCAATATCACGAATCAAATTTTGCAATTTAAATTGTTATTTAAAAAAAAATCTAACGTGACAGGATATTAAAATCTGATCCATTCAAACTAATAACGCTAACCCATCAAGACATTCATCACAGCAAGTGTCGCTTAACTTAACTAATATAATGAATTAAATTTTGTAATTTAAATTGCAAATTAGAACGATGATTTAAAAATCGTTGTTATTTAAAAAAAAATCAAGTGGCAGGATATTAAAATCTGATCCATTCAAACTAATAACGCTAACCCATCAATACAAGCACCACAGCAAATGCCGCTTAACTTAACTAATCGTAGTCTAGCCTATCGATAAAATGAGCATGCAACAATTTAGCATCAGCCAATATCATGAATCGTAATCTAGCAAGCGATTAAGTCTGAGTAACGCTAATAGGTTTAAGATGACCAAGACTAATCTGACGGACAAATTAAGCATTACTTAACCGCACACACCACCATTTGAGGTATGGAATTCTCCATTCGAATCGCGGCTCTATCAATTTCATTTTCATGACTCAACTATAATGTACACTTTAATTGATGAATTTTAGTTCAAAGATTGATTTGATTTAGATATTAATTGGAAATAGTAATAATAATACGTAAAATGTTTAAAGGGGTCAGAGAAACACATAATGTTTTAGTGAATTTGAATGGAAAGTAATTTATCTAGATTTTTTTTTTTTATTTTCATGTTTAACCCCTTTGAATGTTAAAATGAACGAAATGAAAATCATAGTTATATATATTATGCGCCCACATTGTGTTTTCACCCGAAAACATTTTTAGTTTCACAATGTCTCCAAGACAGGTACATATTTTAGACTTATTTTTAACTTTTCATTGTATATAGTAATCTTTAAGAAATAATGTACCTACTCGTATATTAAGTAAATATTCTTATTATACCTATACTGTTTTATTCGTCCTAACGTCTATTTTCATTCTTATTTTAATTTAATAAAAAATGTTTGAAATCTTATTTACACCGTGTCGGGTCGATCACGTAATACGAACATGGCATAAGCCTACAGATAATAGAATTAAATTGTTTTCTCTGTGACCTTAATGTTCGCTTCTATTCTTAAACAAGAATTCCGATACACATCAATATGTTTTTTTTATAGAACAAAAAACGGGTTGGAGGCTCACCTGATGTTACCGTATGACACTCGATCCCAGAGAGCTCACGTGCGTTGTCGGCCTTTTAAGAATTGATACGCTCATTTGAAGGACATCCCCCAAGTGGAATTGGTTCGGAAATACTTCAGGCACCGGGGAAGGTCTGGTCTGTGTTTTTACGGTTCCCAGTACGACATGTTTGCATCGCATGGTAGCACAGGTGCAGACCTACCCTACCACATCCCTCTGATGGGTAGGGTGGCGTGGTCTTGGGAGGAGTGCAGGTCACTGAGATCCCCAAGGCAAGTTTGGTGGACTATCCTTCTCGAGGTTGCCGACCCCGTTTTTGGTCTATTACCCTATGTAATAGACGCAACTGAAAACCACCAAGCGATTAATTGCAGGGATGGAGAGGTCATGTCCTTGCAAGTTCATCATCCAAAAAGATAGGATGGTGGACAGTAAATGACCTCCCGCGTGTTTGTACCGTGCGCGGGGACCCGTACGGGGGGATGAAGGAGTCCTGGGGGTTGAGTGTGACAGTGCGCCGGGAACAGTTGTGCGCTGCACACAACACGCCTCTTTGGTCTGGATTTCCCCTCACACGGGAGGCCATGGACTAGCTACCTGTGGTCAACCGGCTGCGGTATCCCATAAGCGGGCTACCAAGCGAGAGTCGGGGTGTGGGGGCCGTCGGCGAGGCTCGGGACTCGGGGTGAGTTTGCGTCATCGTCTCGTGATGCGAACAGCTCCGTACTTCCTGGCAGCGTGCGGACGCGTCTGCCTTCCTACGCTCTGGCTCTATACCGGAGGAGTAGCTCTGGCGTTTGCTTGCTGAGCAAGTGACGCCCCCGACTGAGGACTCCGTGGCGGGTGGAGAGCTCTGACGGTGAATTTACTACCTAACACCTCATGGACAAAGAGGCTTCAAAACAATTAAGCATAACAAACAACACAGGGTTGCGTCTCAGGACGGGTCACGGTGCAAGGCGCCAGTGACACGACACTTTGAGGCCCCTGTTTCTCTAGGATGCGCCAATCCCGGCAGCGTCCAGTGAATCGAAGGAAAGGGAATCGACTGGGGACAAGCCAAACCGGGCTGCACCCAGGACCGTACCCAATCCAACAGAAACGACAAAACCACTGCACAGGGAAGCGTCCTCCGTCGCGGCTAGGTTAACTGCGTCGGTTGAGCCAAAGGAGGCCACTCTGGATGATGCAACAGTATTGTATGCGTCTGAAGGTGTGGCATCCACGGTTAGACCGATGCGGAATACCGTGTCAGAGACGGTGAATGTACCCGGTGCAGCGTCCTCAGCCATGGACATGACGGCCCTGAAAACCGCAATACAGGAACCGACCATGACTATGGTTTTGAGCTCATCAAAGAGGCGACGGCTCAACAGGGTCAGAAGGGCGGCAGAACGGCAGGAGCTGTTAGCTGCTGCTCAAGGACCACCTGTTAACCCAAAACCAGCCCCTGGAGCTAGCAGAGCAACAGGTGGCAGGAGATGGGAACCGAAGCCGACGGCGTCGAATGCCGCGCTAAGGCCTGACGGCTCCAAGTGCAGCACGAGACCCGCAAACAGCAAGAAACCGAAAACCAATGAACGAGAGAAGGGCCAGAAACGTGTACGGCCTGAGGACTCAGTTACACCGACTGGGGAAAGGAAAAGGGTAAAACCTAACCGACCTCGAACGGTGGGAGGGACCTCGGCCAGCTACGCGGAAGCGGCGGCAGCATACAAAACTAATGAGTTCTGTGTTGCTGTAATGACCGAGCCCTTCCTTGACATGACCCAAGAACAGGCGGAAGCCATCCGCCTACAAATCCAGGGTAAGCTGCATGACGAGCTAATGGCGGATTTTGCAGCTCCTCTAACAGAAGAAACCAACGACATCAGGTTCCGGGGCAAAGCCCACTTCGCAGATGGCGTCCTGAAAATGTGGTGCGAGGACGCCTACGCGTTGAGGTGGCTGACCAGTACCTGCGATGCCATCA